ATGTATCTGGATGCTGCAGAGACGGCAAATGCGATGTCTGGTCGAGTCTGGCAAGCAAGGTAGAGCAAAGCGCCGATGAGAGAGCGGTAGGGTCCTTCAGAACATGCCTCTTGAGGTTTCCGACGCCAGAGCTTGAGACCAGTCTCCATGGGAGTCGAGCAAACGCGCATCTTATCATCTGGGAAGAATCTCTTCTTCAGGTCCTCAACGTACTTCCTTTGATGGAGGTGAATGCCGTGTTCAGATTGCACGATTTCGACGCCCAAACCGAAAGTAGCTTCGCCAATAACCTTGATTTCGAAAGCGTCCTCAATCATGTCCATGGCCATCTTGACTCCCTCTTGCGTGCCGAAGAAAAACAAGTCGTCCACGTAGAGTGCAATCAACACTGTTGGGTCTGGATAGATGAGAAGACATGGGTCAGCGTCACTGACAAGAAAACCTATTTGGAGGAGATGTCCCGTAAATTTCTTGTTCCACCTTCTCCCTGCTTGTTTCGTTCCATACAGCGACTTGGTGAGAAGCCATACGCAAGCCGATCCGTCCTCGAAACCTTCTGGTTGTGCCATGTACACCTCGAAGTCCATGTCACCATAAAGATAAGCTGTCACAACATCTGCCATGTGAACCTTCAATCCCTTCCTTGCCGCTCTGCTGAAGAGCCAACGCAGAGTTTCCGGCCTGACCACAGGGGCAAACGTTTCGAGGTAGTCGATGCCGTGTCTTTGCGTAAATTCCTTTGCCAGGTGATAGTGGTGAGTGGTGCCGAGAGTTGGCGAGGTTGAGGTGTTTGTTGAAGGTGCCGAGAGAGTTGGCGAGGGTGGTGAACGTTGCCGAGAGAGAATGCACCACGATGGAGGTAGAGAAAGGGAGCTGCAGTGCGATTGTGGTGTTGAGGCTGAAGGCGCAAGGTGAGAACAGAGACGAATTTGGTCTTTGGCTTGACATGATGGCGCCGTAAGAAGAGGTTTAATGGTTGAATAAATGTTTGGCTGAAGGGTCAACGATATCAACGCGAGTGTCGGTTGGACGAGATGATGGGATGCCGAGAGGTTTAAAGACTGAAGGGATTCGTGAACGAGTAGTTTGATGTTGTCGGGAGGTTTTCTGAAGGACAGGAGCATCAAGTTCAGTTGTCCTTGCGGCTAGTCTTGAGGTTTCAATTGACGGGAGCAGGTGCGGTTATGCATGCGGTGCTATCCTGAGTGTCGGTGATGACGTTGCAGAGGCTCGTTTTTGTGGGCGAGAGGATGATCAGTCCTATATCCGTGTTGGGGTGCCGCTGGAGCTTTTAACTGAAGTCGAGAAGGTGATGGTGATAAGATCTCGTGCTGCGAGGGAGACAGTTGGCATGTCCATATGTGGGGTCCGAAATTGACGCAGTTGATTGTTGGTGTGGTTGGTGGTTAGCCAGTCCTTGCCGAGGGTGACGAAGTTGGCGATGGAGCTGAGATGAATGGTTTGCTCGAGAATTTGCCAGTTGTCTAGGGCCAAGATTGTGGTTTGGATCTTGAGGCCGCGAAGCGAGGTTTAAGCGTGTCAGATTGATGTCCAGGAGCGTTTTTCCGAAGGGACGTGGTTTCTGACGAGCTTGGGTTGATGAATATCGAATAGGCACCTCCGTGGATGAGAATCGGGACGGTATGGGTGCCAGTCGTTGGAGATGAGCTGAGAAGCAGCGTAGCTGGTCGAGTTGTGGTTTATTTGAAATTGTGACGTGGAGTGAGCGAAGGTGATTGTGAAGAAGCAACAGTAGCTTATCCTTCTGGGGTTGCCGTTGCCAGACAGGATAAGGGTGCACGCTCGACAAAGTCCTTGTATGTGCAGGAGCGATGCCAATATGTTACTTGGTCATGGACGCCGAGGCTCTTGGCCTGCGGACGCTTCCGTGCTTGGAGGAGTTGGAGGAATGGCGATTCTTGCCAACAGTGCTGGAGTGGTTGATGATTGGAGCTTCAGAGCAGCGATGGGTACACCAGCTGCAGATGGAACTGGTTTGGTACTGATTAGGCTGCTGGTCCATGTGGAATGGTGCGTGTAGAGGAGGGACTTGGTTGCGGGCGCAACCGATTGAGAAGATGTTGGTGGGGTTTCTTGGAGTGGAGGGTCGACCATGACGAGGGTGTCAACGTGATTGTTGATGGAACGGACTTGCTCTTGAAGGGCGAGTGATAGGATGCTAATTTGGTCCGTCAGGGAGATGATTTGGTTGTTGAGGGAGTCCACAGTCTTGTCTTCGACGTGACTGATGTTGGTCTCTAAGGTGGTGGGTGGCTTTGGTTGCTGTCAGAGTTTGCGAGAGTACCGAGAGCGGTGGCGAAGGTGCTGAGCGAGTCACGGAGAGTGCCGAGTGAGTTGCCGATGGTGTCAACGGAGCCAGCGAAGTTGCCGATAGTGTTGGTGAGGGTGCGAGAGAGTGACAGCATCGTGGAACGGTGGTTTGGGGAAGAGTTGAAGAATGGGGATAGAGATAGAGGTGAAGGTAGATCAGAATAACATTGCTACCATGTAAGTGAAGGGGCGAGGGAGGCTTTAGAGGCTTTCAACACAAGACAAAGAAACCAACAAAGAAAGGAGAGGCAGCTATGGCATGAAAGACAGGAACATAATGGTCAATTCCGTCATAGATATGCATCTCAGGGAGTGTGGCGAAAAGGCACCGCGTTCGGCTTCGAACCGAAAGATTGTGGGTTCGACCCCCACCATTCTCGATGTTTTGGAATATTCTATTTTTTAGTAGTTGTGGTGACCCAAAAGTTTCAGTGATTTACAAATGAAAAATAACTGTTTTGTTAAAAAATGTTTGCGCCCAACGTGGGGGTCGAACCCACAACCTCAAGATTAAGAGTCTTGCGCTCTACCGATTGAGCTAGCCGGGCGAGAGGAATGCTCCGCACAGGGATCGAACCTGTGACCTTGGCGTTATTAGCACCACGCTCTAACCATCTGAGCTAGCGGAGCATTTGCAATGGTTGCGTCCGGGATCGAACCGGAGACCGCCTGTGTGTTAGACAGGTGTGATAACCAACTACACCACGCGACCGATGGTAGAAACCTTCAGAATGAAGGATTCGGGCCCAACCGGGAATTGAACCCGGGACCTCACCCACCCTAAGGGTGAATCATACTACTAGACCATTGGGCCATGGTACGACAACGGCAGGACTTGAACCTGCGCTCCCGAAAGAATTTGATTTCTAGTCAAACGCCTTAACCGCTCGGCCACGTTGTCATTGCGATATCTAATATTCGAAGCCGTGACAATAAGTTCTTCGGCATTGTCAGCGTCAATTAACTCCTTGTTCTGTTCTTCCCGTCAACCTCTTTACTTGCGGAATCATCCCTCCACCAGCTGTTTAGCAGTGTGTCGACCATCTATCGAGGCACCCCGAAAATTGATATCGATGGTTACCGGTTCAGGTTAGGTTTTTCAATTTTCGCAACGTATCGAGGTTAAATTTTAAGGACGGAGTTCCTGCCCAGTGTTGTTCAACTTGTTCAACGTTCAGTTTTGTAGCTGCAAGCCGACATGAAAGTTGGAAAAAGTTTTGGCCTGTCTTTTCTCTTCATATTATTTTTATTCTTATCCTCATCAGCAGCCTGAAGCGCCATTGGTTCGACGCCATCACTTTGCAGCCGGCAATCATGTCCCCTTTCCGTGATTTTTAATTTGCCAGTTGCCGACCACGTCGAGCGACGTTTGCAAATTTTAAAGATGGAACACTTTTCTAATTAGAAAAGATACGACAAAAAACATTTATTACAGCGTGTGTAGCTGATGAATTGCAAATAGGATTATACAATTTTTGAGGCGTTATGGAAATGAGGAGGTAGTAAGAAAAGTGGAACGTGGGTGAAGGGGAGAGGGAAAGAAAAAAAAGGCGGTGATCTACGCGTCTAAGTTTCGAATTAAAGGAAGAGGGCAGCCACGGCGGCGGCTCCAGCAACGAAGGAAGCGGGAGCGAGGTTGGCAGCACCAGCGCTGTACACAATGTCGGTCTTCTTGGGGGCAGCTGCGGAGGTGGTGGTGGGGACGTAGGCGGTGGCGGTGGAGGTGGGGGCAACAGTGGTGGTCTCGGGAGCTCCGGGCAAAAGGACGGTGTTGACAACGTGGACAACACCCTCGTCAAAGATGACGTCGGCGATGACAACGGTGGCGGGGGTCTTGTTGCCCTTTCCGGCAATTTGGACGCCCTTCTCGGTGGCCTCGGCAGAAACTTCCTGGCCTAGGACAGTCTTGGCAGAGATCTTCTTTCCAGCCTTGATGATGTCACCGGCGTAGACGGGGGAGGGGACAATGTGGAGCTTGAGAACGTCCTGAATGGCCTCCTTGGAGAGGGTGTCAGTGACAGACTTGATGGCGGCAAAGGCATCATTGGTAGGGGCAAAGATGGTAACGTCCTGAAGGCCAACCACGACGTCGAGAAGACCGACAGCTTTAATGGTGTCAACGAGAGAAGTAAGACCGCCGGCTGTGGCGGTCTCGGCAATGGTCTGGGGAGGGAGCAGGACGTCATCGACGACGTGGATGATACCCTTGCCACCGTTGACAGTGATGGACTTCTTTACGTTGGCCTTTGCGAGACGGTATCCGATGGTAACGCCATCAGCGGTCTTGGCAGCGACAACAACCTGTGCAGCCTTCTTGTCTTTGGGGGCAAGGGCGGTCTTAAGGGTGGTGCGGCCATCTTCCTTGGGGACGTAGGAGGTTCCGGGGACAACGTGGTAGAAGAGAACGGCGTCGAGAGCGTCACCGGAGGGGGCGGCGGCAAGTTTGGCGAAGCTGTTTTGTTTTAAAGAGGGGGGGAGGGAATTGGTTAGTCTTATATTCACATGGTGATCGAAGAGGCCGCCAGCAAAATACTCACGCAGCGTTGGAGGGAGCAAAGAGGGTGACGGCGTCGGTCAGGCCGTTGAGGGCGGCTACGACCTTTTCCCGGCCACCAGCGACGGTCAGGAGGGTCTTGAGGTCATCCTCCTTTCCGAGGGCTTCAATGATCGATTGAGCGCTGACACCGATGGCACAGGCAAGGGCAAGGATGGATGCGGGGAAGAAGCGCATGATGGAAATTGAGGATGCGAGAATTAAACTGTAGGAGGGATGAGGAAAGATGGGTAAGAGGGAAAGGAGATGTTCCTTTTATACGTGGTTATAAACATTAGGGGTAAAGGGGAAGCTTTTCGAATGACTGGGACACCTTTGAAAGGGACAGGGATCCACTGTCCACAGAGAGAAAACAAAGAATTGACCATCGTTCCACAGATCGCGAAACCTTTTTGGGGCAAAGGGATCATCCGCTCGCAGTCGTTGTGTTGTTTGGCAACCTTGATGCTTGGAAAAGGTGGATTTCAATTTTATTTTATCCGCATTCGGCAACAGACAAGTTTCAAAATGGAAGCAAATGAGATCGGGAACAAAATTTTTCAACCAGAGATCGATTCCCTCGTTCTTCCAATATTTTGCGGAATAAATATTTTTTTTTGTTTTGTTTTTTTTTTTTCTACTTTCCAAAATCTTTCCTTTTTTGTGTTTTGCTTCTTTTTTTGTTTTATTTTTTTTAAAAAAAAAAACTTTTACATAAGCTTATATAGGAACGACAAAGTCCGGCCGCCGTTGAAAGTATCATTATGGCAAGTCAAGCCAAAAGGAAAAACAAAATCGGCTAAACAGGGACGAACACAGGAACCTTTGAATAAAAACCCAGCCACATCAATATTTGCTTACAATTCCTTTGTTCTCTTTCTTTCGCCACCCCTTCCGCAAATTCGCAATTCATAATCATCACGCAATCAACCGTCATCGGCGGGAAACAAGTTTCTAAGATGTCACTTTCAGACTTTGAGTTCTTACTGATCGCAACCATTTACGATATCCAAAATCAAAGGCGTTGAACGTGCTTCGGTTGGGTGTGTGAGCAGTCTTTGCAGATGAGACATAGGCTTGACGTCAAGTTGGCTGTTGTCCAGACGATCCTTGTATGTGCCTGTCCAGATGACAATAAAAGACGGATGGCGGAGCCGCTGCAGATGACACAGAAGAGGGGACGGAAACTGGTTGGCTGACTTCACGGAGCTGACGACCTTGCGGGGATATTGGTCTTGGGCAATGTTGGCGCCAGAAATGGCCTCCCTGTCTGCCTATAAAATCGCATCTGTAACACCGATAGACCTTGCTCTGGGACTTGCGGTTCAGCGGTTCAGCTGGAAAAGTCTCACAACCAATGACAAGCCGGCCATTATTACGACTCATGGCTCAAATGAGCTGTTTCCAAAAATCAGTGTGCCTAACGTTCGTGAGCACTGCAGCTCCTTGCAAGGAACCGGAACCAAGCTCTGTTGATTTGTGTACATAGTATCATAGTCTTAGTTCCCAATAAACACGTGTGATGAGCACTTTATCCATAAGGTGTATTGGCAATCGTTTATTCAGCATAGACATTG